ATAACTCGTGGTAAGAACCATGAAACTGAAATCCCCATAAACATAGCAGAACGGTGAAACCAGTAACTTCCGCTGATTTGTCGAAGCCACTGCCGGGAGGCGTTAGATTTTCGTTGACGAGATCAAAAGTGTTGCCGTGATCTCATCTTTTCGACCGGAGTTGGAAGCATTTAATCACATTAACACTTTTCCCAATAGCCTATTTGCCCCCGTCAAAAAGCCTTCCGATCATCATCATCATCACGATCATCAAAGGCATTGTTTTACCGGCGTGATGGGAGCCATGAATATATCTCTAGTCGTATCAGGTAAGATTTGGGTTTGTATTTTTTATTCATTTCTTTCTGCTTTCTATATCAATCGTGTGGTCGGAAATTGATGTTTTAGAAAACAAAACCTGTGAAACATAATAAACAGAAACGTTGACCGAACTAAAAAGCTAGAAATGAGGTGACGAAGATTCTAGAGAAAGTGTATATATTTAGTGGGAACCTATATTTGGCCCACCAGCGTTCATAAGAGCCACAACACGAACACAATTAATCTCTGCGTTGACCGCCACTGATGTTGACCTTCTTTGCACGATTTTCTTATTGAAATCGCTTTTTCTTCTTCTTCTTCTGTTCTACTTCTTAAGGACTTGTGTTTTGAAATCTCATTTTCATTCTTCTTTTAAGGACTAGTTGTGTACTTTCGATGATCCCAAGTTACCCGGAATCCTACTAAATCAAATCCCCAAGTAAGTTTTTGTTCATATATTTGCTTCTTTAATTTATATCAATACGTTAATACGTTATGTATTCTTCTATACGTCTATTGATTTTTGCTATGAATTTTTCAAAGTGTATCCGAAGGTGAAGGTGAGACAAGAAGAAGAAGATCCACAAGAGTTTCAGAGAATTTATTTGAAGGATTTCCAGTCTCCATCCAATTCCCCTCAACATAAAGATGGTTACACTTACACACCACCGAGGGTTCTCAAGTCTCATCATATCTCCACTTCAGGCATCTAACTAACGATTTTAATTTACATAATCAAACCTTAGCCATAGACGATATCTAATTTTCTATATGCTGAATCAGATGCCAATATATCATCATCAAAAGCAGCTGCGAAGGTCGACAGAAAAGTTGCAGAGGGAAATAAACCAAATAATAAGGTCAACAAGAAAATTACAGAGGTAATTAAGCCAAGTTCTATCCTGCCACCGCGAGCTGTTTTATCGAGTCCAGGTAACATATATTATCCGTATTTAACCCAATTTTGTTCAAATTATTGTATAATCAGGACATGTTCTATTGTTGTTATATGCATGCACAATCAGACTAATTGTTGGTATGTGGGCAGAGAATGATTTGATGCTCAGAACCAAAAACAAAACAAAAACAGAACGTTCAGAGTCGAAGAATCATAAGCTGAGTCAAAACACGCATGCCAAGTGCAACAAGTCTTATGAACTCGAGAAGAAAAACAGCTCATGGTCATGGAAATGATTATTAGATGTGTGCAACGGATTTTTTTTTTTTTTTTTTTTTTCATCACTAAAGGTTTATTGACACTCAACTAACCGATACTCATATTGTAATATAGATACGCTTTGGTTTTGTTTTTAATATTGGCACATCTGTATTGTAATACAACGGGGCTTATATATCGACCATTTGAAAGAAAGGTAGCTTGGTTCAGTTTTTAAGTAGAATAGATGTCACGAGTGATTACATAAATCTCTGAAAAAAATCCAACATTTGAGAATGTATTTGGTTACGAAATGATTAAATATAGACCCATATGAATTATAGTATAATTTTTCTTATATTACAACAGCAATAAGTACCCATCGAAACGATTAGTACAAAAACACAAGCTTGGGGCCCACAGCTACTTGTCTTGAACCATAGTACGCAGCAACTACAACACAGGCTCTGCACCTACAGAAACAGCACCACCATGCTCGCACTCTTCATCTATTTCCCACAGAAAGCTAGCATATGCTGCAAGAATATTACTGAAACAAAAAAATAAATACTCATTTTCAATTAAGCTCTTCAATGGCATATGCTTAGACATGATATTGAGATTATGTTTGTTACATGTTACATGGACATTGGGATTGGATAAAGCTTTATGGGGTTATTTTAATCATTTCGGAACAAAAATATGTACTTTATGTCCAATTAGTATAGTCCATGATCTAGTCTAGTGTATGCCAAACACAGTATGACCTTGTCCTGTATATATAGAAATGAAAATTGAGGTTGTGGAGTCATAAGTGGATTACCAGTCTCCATGAGCAACAAGAGCAGCTTTCTCAAAGTAACTCAAGGCTTTATCCTGATCACCATGAACCTCCAAGACAAACTTAGCATACTGTATCAGAGTTTGACCATCATTAGGGTCTTCAAGTGTAGCACGCAAGAAGTAATCCTCAGCTCCATTAAGATCACCCGTGGACTGTAATCATACTCAAAAACTTACAATCTGGTGAAAATTTTGGGAAATGAAAGAAAGAAAGAAAGAAAGAGAATGTTGACTTCTCACCTGTAAAAATTGGGCGTACTTCCTCAAGGCGAGAGGATTGTAAGGATCTGGATCAATAATCATCTTATAGTACTCGATATCACCACTCTCATCCAACAAGGTTGGTGTAAACTCAGTGCCACCTATACCATTGATTCCAAACCCTGTAGCAAGATACATTTTAGGACTCGGTGGTTGAATCTCTTCATTCTTAAATCCATTTGATTCTTCATCCTCCACAATCAATCCCATACTTCTCTCTGCAAAAGAGAATTCACCACTACTGTCCAATTGTTTTGAACTTTTCGTCTCTAAATCCCCTTTCTCATTTTGAAGACATCCGTCTTCATCTGCATAAATGCAGAAAGATGGCTCGGTGTGCAACATTGAATGGAAAAAAAATATGAAAC